AATGTCAAGAAGTACTATAGCCTGATATAATTTACCACTATGATAGGATCAATACACACTGGAAAATTCAGCACTGGTTACACCCAGCCTTTTGATTTTGGTACCTATATTTTTATAGTACTGTACTGATTGTATATTGCAAATTTACGAGTGGGAGAATTTTCCCCAAAATAATTCCCAAAGGCCCTTTATATCAAGATAATGTAGTAATTTGGACTCCGTGATGACTGAATGCCAAACCAGGATTGGAAATAGAAATAAGGTATATAGATCCAGAGAGTTTATGAGAGAAGGAAATGGTCTCTGTTGTACCACTTATAAACTTTATCAGAATATATTCATTTGGATACCATCACTCAAGCTTCCCCTGCTTGAGCAGCAGGCTGGAATAGAAGACTTCCAAAGTCCCTTCCAGATTCTATTCTATTCTATTCTATTCTATTCTATTCTATTCTATTCTATTCTATTCTATTCTATTCTATTCTATTCTATTCTATTCAACATGGTGAGTTAAAGACATCAATCCTATCTCGGATGACTAAAATATTTCACCAAATGTCCTATTCCACACTGACTTGGCTTCACATCAATTGAACAAACAAATTTACAAACATAAATTATATCCCACCACAGTTACTTTTCTAAACTATGTACAAAAAATAAACTGTTTTATCAGGCTCTCACGGTTATTTTAGGAGCCTGATGGCTTTTCACATGGCAGAAAAAAGCCCAGAGTTGGCCCAATTTTTCAGTCATTGGGATCCAACTGCATCTCATGCAGATTTAATCATCCCCTTGCTTTAGCCCATTCCCAGACACAATAACTTGAATCCTAAGTTTGCCATGCAGCTTACAAGCCATTTTTGCTTTTGGTTCTTTTTTTTTAAATGCCTTTGAGTCAGTCTTGACTCCTGGTGACTCTCTAAAGAAGACTGCAGTTTTCTTTACAAGATTTCAAAAGTAGTTTGCCATAGGGTTGAAAGAGACTGACTAGCACAAGATTACCCAAACAACCAAGGTGGCATTGGAAGTCATGGTCTCTCAAGTTGCTAACCTGATAGCAATAGCACTTAGACTTATATACCGGTACTGCTTCACAGTGCTTTACAGCCCTCTCTAAGCGGTGTACAGACTCAACATATTGCCCTAACAATTTGGGTTGTCATTTTACTGACCTCAGAAGGATGGAATGCTGAGTCAACTTGATGCTTTAACCACCACACAAAACTGGCTCTTATTATTCTCCACTTATTGATTCTTCCTTATTCTCCAAATAAGAATAGGAAGGATAGGAAGGAAAGAAGCCATATGCTTGTTGCTTTGATTAACAATTGTTATCACATATATTTAACAAAATATTTTTTAAATATATGTATAATAGCTTATTTAAATGTATTAACATCATATGAAAATTAACATTGTATGGGCAAATTCAAAATATATTGTGCTCAAGGCAGAATCAGTTATAATTATATCTGGCTTGAGCAATTTATAACCCAACAGCTGGATCTCAGTTTACAAGTCATTTATGATGTTCCAAGATAACTTGATAAACTTCATAAATGTTTTCAGCTCATCTGGACTGCCAGATCAGGATAATATTTCACATTTTGTCAGATGACACAACAGGACCTACTAATTATGTTCTTATACTGAATTATACATAATTTTTGTCTGAAGGATTGATGTTAAAAATTCACTTGTATTTCAACTCAGATAAACTCAGACAACACGTTTGTTGAATAAGCACTGTTGAATTGTATTAAAAAAATCAAGAAAAACTTATAAAAATAATTTGTATTTCATGTGAAGTTTTCCATCTTTCCATTGTAACAGTGAAATAAGGAAGATCCAGACTGGATTGCAAATCATGGTTCATCTAAAGTTTACTGAAACTGCTGTTAGTCCAAAGGGAAGGTTCCCAGAGATGTTACTAGAGCTGTATTTAATAGTAGTTGTCTTTTCCATAAAGTGAAGCCAATTTTTAAAGAGCCATCTCCTTGTGGAATCCCTCTTTCTAAATAACCTGCTCCTCTAGTCTGCAAGCTTACTTGCATGTTAGAATGTTTCAGATTAATATTTAAAAGTTATTACATTAACTTTAGTTAAACTTTTGGTAATGGCCTGAATCAATAAGGGCTCAACATATGATTTATCACTTATGTCAGCTTTACAGGTCATTGTCAGATTGCTTATTATTATAATTGAATCCATATGTATTGTTTGAAATGTCAGACCAAAGGAAGAAATCTAATGTAATGAAAACTGAATAGGAAAATCTATCACTTGGATCCTGCTGCTTAGAACTGAAGAGGGGGAGGGGGGAGATCGTTTTTTACTCCTATTATATTTCCTTCCTTCCTTCCTTCCTTCCTTCCTTCCTTCCTTCCTTCCTTCCTTCCTTCCTTCCTTCCTTCCTTCCTTCCTTCCTTCCTTCTTTCCATCCATCCATCCATCCATCCATCCATTGCCTTGCTATACTCTGAAAACATCCCTTGTTTTCTATCACTACCATAAACTCCACAAGAAATAAATATAGAGAGATAGAACCTTACATCAACAAACTGACATTTCAGGGTCTTTGAAGAAACCCACCCACTGCCTTGATGCTTAAGTGAAGTTGCAGATAAATTATTGCCAGGAAATTTTTATAATTTGAACTAGATTAAAGGTTTGTTTTATCAATGTTTTGATTTCTACACATCATCCATGTAGAAACATGTAGTGTTGTTCATTTTCTGAAGAAAGGCCATGCTTTCAACAAGCCAAGTTTTGTCTAATATTTCTGAAATAATTTAACCCACTGTGATTTGAAATGCTGAAGTGGATTCTAGCACTTTTTATTTCCCTGCACATACTGTGGGCTTATCTACACTGCTTGTGGTCTTGTTGCCACAGTACACTAGCGACTGTTAATGGAAGGCGGAAATGGAAAATATCTTCCTGTATATACTCTTTATCATGAAAATGACCTTCAGGCTCATTTTTTTTGCCAAGAATTTTAAAAAAAACATTTTTCCTTTATGTTGTCCTGAATGGTCCATTCTGTTTTATCTATGGTGTTTTAGTATCTTTCAGGGTAACTCTAAGAGAAGTTGCTTGAAGGAGTCAATAATTACTTTGATTTTTTTAAAATGATTTTCTAGAGTTTTCTTTTAACTAGGGGGTTGAAATAGCACAGTCGCTATGATCTTGCTGAACTGATCCCATATTTCAAAAAGTCAGCAGATTTTTTTTTTGAAATTGCTATTTTACTTTTCTTGATCTAGCTAGATTTTCTTTTCGCCCCTCCCCTTAAAAATAAGTCCAGGGCTGCAGCATTTCATTGCTTATTAAGTATTTTTTTTAAAAGGACAAACTTACTGATGTAGAAAGAAATATAATTCAAATAACAAAATGTTCCTACTAAATTCTGAATTGGTAAATTTCTATATTTGAGGCAAAGATTATAAGCATTATGTTTCTTCAGCAATATTGTAAAAAAGGAGGCATAGGAACTATTAAAAAGCAACAGAGTGATTGAAACAACTTTTTTAATAGTGATTGTTGTGCCTGTTTATACATCCAACTGATTTCCATTATGTTGCTGCTTTAACCTGAATATATAAATATATAAACTTAAGGAGGGAGGGAGAGGCAGATAGACAGTCAGACGTATAAAAAATATGTCCAGAAAGACCCATCTACCTCAAGTAAAATGCAGGCAATTGCTTTCATGGAGAAGAAGGTAAGAGGACTAACTACAGAGGAGTTGTCTAATGGGAGGACGTAATGGTCTCTGGTCAATATGAATTCTCTGGAAGATATTATAAAAGTTTCTTAGTCAAAATGAGATTTTCTTGAACTGGTTTACAGGCAGAAACAGCTTAAATGGTCAATGCAGATCTGCACATAGTTACAGGATATAAATAACTGAACTGCCAAAGATCCCACCATGCTCTATGCCTCTTATTCTTGAATTATTGATTGATTGATTTAAGAGACCACACTTGGAATACTGCACCCAGTTCTGGTCACCATGATATAAAAAAGATGCTGAGACTCTAGAAAGAGTGCAGAGAAGAACAACAAAGATGATAAGATGGTACTATGAACAATTATTGGAACTAGCTATATCTAGTCTAACAAAGAGAAGGACTAGGAGTGATATGTAAAGTCTTCCAGTATGTGAGGGGCTGTCACAAAGAAGAGAGACTCAAACTATTCTCCCAAGCACCTGAGGGCAGGAAGAGAAGTAATGGGTGGAATGTTATTAAAGAGAGATCTAACCTAGCACTAAGGAGAACTCTCCTGACAGCGAGAACAATTCATCAACGGAACAGCTTACCTCCAGAAATTATGACTGCTCCATCAGTGGAGATTTCAAGAAGACATTGGACAGCCATTTGTCCAGAATTGTTTAGCGTCTCCTGCTTGAGCAAGGAGTTGGACTAGAAGACTTCCAAAGTCCCTTCCCTTCTTTTTATAGTTTCTTCTGAAAGCTTTGTTAGTTCCTTTATTCCTTATTCTCATCTTGTTATACCTTGGGTTTTTTCTCATTTCATTCCAGACTTAAGAACTCAAGTATATGTGGGATTGTACCCTTTAGACTTCAGATTGCTATTGCTACTTCTTTTCTGCAAACCCGCAAGGTTCTGAAAACTAAAATTGTGCAGCCCTATATAGATTTTGTAGTACATGTATTTTATGCACACATACATATAGAGACATATTCAAACTTTATTTTTTCCAACATGAATATAAGCAACATGGGATAAATTAACTTACAATATATCTACTTATGTAGGATCTCCATAAATATAATTTATATTATAATATGATTTGTTGCAAAGGATACATTTTCTTTAATGTTTTATCAAGAAATATTAAGATCCAGAAAAATAATCCTACACAATTTGAATGCCTCTTGGAAAAATGCATATTGAAATGGCTAAAGAAAAATGTGGAAATACAACCTCAGTTTATAATTGACTTTTCTGTTTGTGTCAAATGCTGCACAGTGTAAGAGAGCGATGTCTAGAAGAACAGAAGAGACGGAGACAACGAGCAACCAAGAAGATCAGTACATTTATTGGCACTTTTATACTTTGTTTTGCACCGTATGTAATCACAAGGTAAGTTTTATGCCACTTAGGTCCCTTCCAAACAAAGATATACACAATGTTCACTTGGCAACATTCTGCTCAGGATTTTTTTTTTTTTCACTACACTGCTTGCATTTTGTTCCTTGCATTATAAATATTCCAATAAACGCTGTGAAGACTGGAATGAGATTCTCACTGAAAAAGATCAGAAAGGTTTTAGAATGTTGACCATAAAATGCAGCAAGTCTATTATGTTCTGTAATGCATAAATACTTGTACCCACATTTATTTGTGTAATGATATTTCAAGCCATAGCAAACATCTTGAGGAAGATGTCATGTCATATATTTCCATAATGCTTATAGACCTGTATTTTATGATGTTCATCTCTAATAAAATTTAGCATTTTGGCCATTTAACCTTGGATAATTTCCTGACACTCTCTCATCTTTCTTTGCTCCCGTCAGTTGTTACTAGTGACAACTTTGCTCTGTGCCATATTACAAATATATCACTGTAAAAGAACATTTCAAGTGACCTCCACATGGTGATGATTACTAATAGCCCAGCTTTATCACTTTGGAACCTCAGCCAGGATTTATCACTGCTAAATATATTAAAGATTAGAAAAATGCTCCTAGTAATAGTAACATAATAGGAAGGGAGTGTATAGCCAAAATAGATGCATAGGTAGTCCTTGCTTAGTGACGACATTTGAGACTGAAAACTCTGTTGCTAAGCTCAAAGGTCACTAAATGGAAAATCCCATGACTGTGACAGATTTATGTCCTAACTTCCCATTTAATCATTAAGGAAGTCACCATGGTGAGGCAAATCATGTGTCTATGACTTCTTATTTTATTTCTGCATTCTCTATTACAGTAAATCTGCTTATCACAAGTTGATTGGGAAACACACAAATGGCTGCTATGTGATTTCAGGATGCTTCAATGTTTGTAAATCTGAGAATTGGTTGCAAAGTTGTTTTTTTATAGTATTGTAACTTTGAACAATTGCTAGTTCAGGCAATTTGTAAGTAAGGACTGCCGGTGATAGAATTATTAATGAATAAGAATGTACAGTTTAACTAACACAGGATCACAAAAATCTCAGTTCTACCACGATTGTCAAAACAGTTCACTACTACTGCAAAATAAAGACTGAGGGGAAAACTGTAATCAAAAACATCATTTCAAATTGTTCTAGTTGAAATAAATTATTGAAATGTTGATTGCGGTACTTCAGAAACAGCACAAGAGGCAAAAATCTGAGAGATTGTGCTGGTTTTTATGAACATTTGGAATGTGTAGATTTATTTTTAACAAAACAGTTGATGGAAAAAATGATAATATCTTGGCACACATATGAAACTTAAAGCAGTATGCATAGTGATGTTAGTTTCCTGGTGCTGATAATTAATGTACATATGTCCAAACATGGGGAGTTTATCAAATACAGTTCTTATCTTTCACATCTATATTTTGACTCATGAATCAAAATGTTTATCTGATACATGTAATAGCTCTTATCCAGCTTCAAGTGTCCTTTGAATAAATTGTTTATCCAGCCTTGGTATCTCCATATTGGTAGATTTCAAATATTTTCAGTATCCAAAATTTTCAGTTATAGTAGTCTGTGGTTATGCCTATTGAGAATTCTGGGTGTTGTATTACCGATACATTTGCAGACACTGAGATCAGGCAGGCTGATTAAAACATGTTAAATCAAACTCCAAATGTGAAGAAAAAACAACTTTGGTCCTGTTGATCAGTAATTTAATTATAGCCTCAAAGAGACATACGTGCAGTTAATCCAGTTACCTCAGCAGGCCTTTAGGATCATGGAAAGTCCTCCGGGGAACACCCAAAGCCCCTGAGTTACTACCAAATGTCCTTGGAATGATACCAAAGGAGGTGGTTGACTATTTCTGTACTTCCTTATTTTATCTGTAGAGTGCCAGTTCTTCTGAGTGGTGAAGTAAGCAACATAGCAAGCATATAAATATGAGTGTCACAGTGTGTTCAGGGTTCCCTCTTGCTTTGAGGGGCCCCTTCTTTATTCAGCTGAATAAACATGTATTGCTTAAGAGGCAAATATCGGGACTCTGTCTTTATTTTACTGAGCAACACCTGAAAACCAACAAAATGGTCCCTGGAAGATAATCATTACATCATCCAGATTTATCTGAGGCATTGTATTAAAATAATTCTTTCCTTACTGCCCCAGTCAATTTCAGAGACTAACAGTGATGTAATATTGCTTGATCTTGGCAATTGTGCTGTGAGGCCCCAATATTTGTTCTTCCCCTAAAAAATTTCATATTTGCATGAAATTAAGGCATTTAATAGAGGATTTAAGATGAGATACTCTCAATATGTTGAGAATATCTAGTGGAGTCTCTTTTTTTCCCATCATTATAAGGCTAATCTATCCTGCTATTTGATCAGTACTTGGAAAAAACAAAGTGTTGGGACAGAGCAATATATTTGGGAGAAAAAAGATAATGGATTAGTGTTGCAAGGTATTGGAATGAGAGATAGCTTCCTTTATATTCTTCTCTGGAGAGTAGGTATATAATCATATTTTTTATTTTTATGGTTACTGGCTCAAAATACATAATAGTACAAAATGACTATTTTTCATTGTAATACTTGATTTTTTTATTTGCTAATTTGTCAGTTGACATATTGATTGTGAAATATTCTTCCATTACAGCTGGGATTCATGCCCATAGTGATTAGTTTGGGGCATGAGGTAAACATAAATAGATGACCTATGAGTAGAAAAATTAGATTAGGATGGATAGATGGAAGGATTGATGAATGGATTTACTATTATGTAGCTAGGCTTATATGACCAAATAAGATGGTTAAGAACAACTTTGAAAGACAAAAATCTCTTCTGCCTGATCACTTTAAAGTGTGTTTATAAAGTATAGATAGATAGATGGCACAGAGAAAGGGAGAGAAAGATGATAGACAATAAATAGATGATAGATAGATAGATGTAGATTCTGATGGATCAATTTAAAATGACAAATATAATTTAATACTGTCTAAAATAAATCAACATACATATCCAGTGAATACACACACACACATACATATGTAGGTCTTTGGTTATTTGGGTTTTCTCCCACGTCAAATTGGAAGTGTCTTGGCGACGTTTCGACAAAGTTCATACCCCCACTGGCAGTTAAAAGGAAGAAACAGCTATGATCACACATTGCTCCTAGAAGCACGAAGCCAAAAACACTAGCCTGAAGATGACGAATGAGACTTTGTCGAAACATTGCCAAGACACTTCCAATTTGACGCGGGAGAAAACCCAAATAAACAAAGACCTATATACAAACACCCGCGAAAACCTCAGAAAACAAATATACATATATACATATGTGCATATGTGCATATATACATATATACATTGTCTCTAATTATACTAAAAATGCAAATCCTGGATATATTCGACTATTTTCCTCAACATATATACATATATACACTATGAATTTGTGTTTAGCAAAAAAGTAATAGCTTGATCTTTGTCATTTCTACATAGTCACTGGAATAAGTATAAGGTAGCTTTCTGTTCTTATAAGCAGTACTCTGCTTGTGCATGTTCTGAAACTCTTCAAAATCAGCCCTAGCCAGTAGCATCTTGCAGGGTTTTGTTATTACGTATTTTAATTAGTGTCTAATATTTTTGTTTCATGCTTAGTTGTTTTCTGTAGGCATGTGATAAGCTAATGCTTGAATCACTCTATTATCTGATAGCAGTACTGATCAGCTAATGTTAAATGTGCTTTATCAAATATAATTAAATTTAAAGAACATTTCAGCTACCAGTACTGGGAAATGGTTCACTGAAACTATTTTCCTGAACAAGAATTGGTTTTATTCTTCTAAATATATGTCTCACTTTTGTCTTATTAATGATTTAGGTACCATTACATCATGTCAACTCTTAGTAACAACATAGATTTTCTCCTTGTATTGGGCAATTGCTTGTCATCCAGCAATTTCTAAAAATATATAAACAAATTTACTTATATAGCATTTATACATTTGAGTGTCTGTTAATATTAAATTGCAATATTTTGTAGTCTTATTTTTGTCTTCTATTTAATGCTGACTGTTTAAATACTTTTTTTAGAAGGCAAGATTGATGACAATTGATCTGTCAGTAAGTTCAAGCACTCCTTTCTATAAAGAGACCAAGATACCTAATGTCAGTTTATAAAAACATGATATAATGCAGAAGTAGTAGAAATAACTATGTAATGTAGAAGTTTTAGGAGAGAAACAACAAAACATACGTACATTCCAACAAGGAAATGTTTAATGAAGTTTAATGAAGAGAAGGACGAGGGGGGATATGATAGCAGTGTTCCAATATCTCAGGGGCTGCCACAAAGAAGAGGGAGTCAAGCTATTTTCCAAAGCACCTGAAGGCAGGACAAGAAGCAACGGGTGGAAACTAATCAAGGAGAGAAGCAACCTAGAACTAAGGAGAAACTTCCTGACAGTTAAAACAATTAACCAGTGGAACAACCTGCCTCCAGAAGCGGTGAATGCTCCAACACTGGAAGTTTTTAAGAAGAGACTGGACAGCCATTTATCCGAAATGGTATAGAGTTTCCTGCCTGAGCAGGGGGTTGGACTAGATGACCTCCAAGGTCCCTTCCAACTTTACTATTATTGTTGTTGTTGTTATTAAAAATAATAATCAATAACCTATTTTTTTAGCAACCTTATTTTTTTTAGCAACTTATGGATCTTTTTGGTGTTCAAAAGCCACAGTATATCTGATACTGGCAATACTAATTATAGTAGTAGTAGAAGTAGTAGTAGTAGTAGTAATAGTAGTAGTAGTAGAGCCATGGTGCTGGTTAGGCTAATTCAACCAACTGCCAGGAGTTCGATCTTGACTGGCTCAAGGTTGACTCAGCATTCCATCCTTCTGAGGTCGGAAAAAGGAGACCCAGATTGTTGGGGGAAATATATAAATATTCTATTTATATATAGCACTACAGAACAAACAAAAGGTAGTCACCATGTGCTTTGTGGCTTTATCTGTTTTAACTGTAACAGGAAACAGGAAACTCTACCTAAGACAAAAAGAACATAGAGTATATACCATAGACCCAAACTTGTAAACACTGCCATTTACTGTCTAAATACTACTGTAGTCATTGCACAAACTACATTCCAACAATGAGTTCCAACGTATGCTGACTTTGTAAACTGCTTAGAGAATGCTGTAAAGCACTATGAAGGGGTATATAAGTCTAAGTGCTATTCCTCAATACTTCCGCACACCAGTATCTAGTATTTAAAAATATAGGGGAATAAGGGCAGGATTTATTGGGCATCTTTTTTGTAGTGTAGAAATCAATGCCTAATTTTTCCAAAATTGCTTAGTGATTTAAACACTCAGGAAATAAAAAAAGCAGATTATGTTTTCAAAAAATCATTAGAAAAATAATTGGAAAAAATAATTGAATCAAGTACTGCAAAATATTTTTTATAATTGTTTTTAATGTCATAGTAGTAAACTCTGATTTGTTCTTTTAAACATTCAACCAGAAGGGTATAATGAAGCTTGATTCTGTCATCGATTTAAAGCATACATTCTAAACATTCATGTGGTACCAACTTTTTTGTACCAGTTCTATGAATATATTGAGTAATAATTATATGATAAATGAGTGTATGATTACTACAGTTACAGTTTGGTCTAGTGGTTAAAGCACCAGGCTAGAAACTAGAAAACCGATCTAGGTGACTTTGGACCAGTCACTCTGTCTCAGCCCAATTCATCTTACAGGGTTGCTGCTGTGAGGAAAATAAGAAGAAAAAAGAATGTTAAGTATGTTTTCTGCCTTGAATTATTTATAAAAATAATAAAGAAGGGAAATAAATAAATTAACCACCAGACAGTCTCTATACTATTCTGAGGGCTTTTAGGACTAATGTATGGTTAGTATTTTCTAAATTTGCTAAAACAATTTCTCTTTTTAGAAAGCAAGCATGCTAGGGAGTTGGGTTATTCTCTATCTGATAAATTCCAGATGCAAAGATCTTTTTGAAAATGTTGAAACCTCAAATTTGTAATCCCGTGCCTGGATCAAGAAATGGTCTAGACCAGAGATCCCCAACCTTTTGGGCACCAGGGACCGGTTCTGTGGAGGGAGGTTTTTCTGCAGACCGGAGGGTGCGTGGTTTTGTGTGCTGCCTGCATCTCGCAGATGGGGCTTTGCTTGTTTGTGTGGCCCAGTTGCTGGCATGCCGTGGCCGGTACTGGTCCACGGACTGGGGTTTGGGGACCCCTGTTCTAGACTAATGTGTCTCAACCTTGGAAACTTTAAAAACTGTGGACTTCAAGTCTCAGAATTCAATTCTCAGCATTCTGGCAAGTGAAGTCCACATATCTTAAAATTGTTAAAGTTGAGAAACATTCATCCAGACTCAGAAAGGCACAATCTGATAATGATAACAGCTACTCTAGAGTTTATTCTTAGATTAATGGTTAAAGTTATCTTTTGCTGTCTTCTTCATGTAGTTTATGTAGACTTTTATTACTCTCTCCCAAAAAACAGAAAGGGAGTTATATTCCCCCTTTTAATGTTCAAATCATAATTGCACCTAAAATACTTGCTTGAGTCCCTAACAGAAAAAAAAATGCCAAGCTGTGCAAAGGTCATTATTCTTTATTTTCAATATTCATTGAAATATTTATTTCCGTATGCATGGAATGAGTCCCAGTGGCTCATATCTACTTTTTCAAAGCTATATATAGACCAACAGCTCAAAGATAAATCAACTGACATTAATGTATGAATTATATTTTTCCTATAATGAACCACTTTAGTTTTTCCTTTAAAATCTCTTGTTCCTTTTCTTTGATAACAATACTGTAAAACCTTCTGAATACTGAAAAATCTAAAATGGCCTGTATACGTTTAAATATTTTTAATAGAGATCTTACAGGTAAGAGTGGCACACACTGCATGTGAAAATTCTGAAACTGACAGTTTGACAGAAATTAATTGTAAGAAAGTGGAACTAATTGTTCCCTTGAAGGTAATATATGCTACAGCTTTCCAATGCTACCTTTATATTGTAGTACTCATAAATATTCTTGGTGTATTGGTTCATTCTGCAGATGCAGTTGTGAGCATGTTCTTTGACTGTTCTTTCTCTATGAAGGAAGATTTCCCTAATCATGCTCTCTCTCTCTCTCTCTCTCTCTCTCTCTCTCTCTCTCTCTCTCTCTCTCTCTCTCTCTCTCTCTCTCTCTCTCACACACACACACACACACACACACAGAGAGAGAGAGAGAGAGAGAGAGAGAGCAATGTGCTTTCCTTTGGTCCTGAGAGTTGGGAAGAAAGTATGTTGATCTCAGGAGTGAGACCAGTAGAATCATGGTCCTCACATAAGGGCAGCAGATTTCTGTTCCTGCTATTACTATCACTCATTCTTTGATGACAGAATGCAGTGGGGGTGAGGCATGGGAGCTTGAGAACTTTTCCTGTCTCAAAAGACTGACTCTCCAACTCATAAATTTAGGGTGTACATTTAACCAGAAAGAGCATTTGTGAACATCAACCAAAAAAGAGGAAATAATGAGGTTCCATCTGGATGGAAACTCAAACCAAATGCCTCAATAGAGTAGGAAAGAATTTGCTTTTCTTTGAAGTTATCATTCCCAGCACACTTTCTTCCACTACCCTTTTGTACTTTTCTATTTCATTTCCTCCTAGGATTAGGCTAGAGCCGATGTCTTCATTTCAGCTAGAGGAGAAAGAAAAGGAGAGAGCTCATATTAAAAATTAAATGAAAGGTCACTAGGAGATCAATATCTTTGGTATTGCTATCAATATCGATATCTTCCTGCTCTCCACTAAAGGGAACAGTTATTAAACAAGTTTATGTTCACTCTGTTAGCCAAAACGGTGCTCTGTGGCTGGATAGAGAGGCAATCCCGAAGTAGGCCAGTTCATTGAGCCTCCACAGATTTCGTCTCTGTGCAACATGGAATATTTGTATAGAACATTTTTCTATTTTGTGATGAAATATACCAGATCCACTTGATTGGGCTTCAACCTGCCTCATAAATGGGCTAGTATCAAGGTCAATGCTAAGTGGTTCAGACATATCATCAGAGATGTTGTGTAGTGTTTTTGGTGAACTCAAATTCCTGTTTGATCTTTCTTCCCCTCTCATCTATTTTCATGGGAAATTACACTCAGGAACTGAACTAGGACAGGACATTTATTAGTACCGATAATATGGGGCATTGTGCGCGTTCATCATTGCTCACTGAAACTGTGCAAATAATCTGTCCACATCAGTAGAATTCAGTATATTTTCTCATCAGATTCTCTGGGAGCTGTTGTAGAACTGCAGAAGAATATTGTTATTTCAGAAATTTTAATGACTTAATTTTGATTGCTGCTTCATATTAAGAAAAATATGTTAAATAAGTTTAGAGCTCATTCTGAGTTAACCAGTTTGTTTTTCACTCTTCTTTACTAAATAATGGAGTCAGGAGCAGGGATCTTCACATTCCTGTAAAGGTCTCAGACTTTCAATTCCCATTCCAGAGTCATGTGCCACCCAGTTAATTCAGGTCTTGCAATCTCATAAGCATAGCAGGGCTATGAAGCCATGATAACAGATTTTAATAAAATTTTGGGGTGATTGTTGTTTGTGGGAAACCTCTGCACAGAACCTAGCATGGGTACTATGGAAACTGGAAACTGGCCACCTTCGGGATACCTCTGCTATTGTTATTAAGTAGCTCCTGGCAGTTTGTAAGAGATATGGATATTATATTGTTTTGTTTGTATGCTTTTTATGTTATGCTTTTTTATGATTGCTTGACATAAAAAGCTTAAAATTCCTTTATTTACTGTGTTCACTGATCACTTAATTGGCAAAATTGTGCACACATACATACTCACAAACTTTCCCTAGACATTATTGCAAAATCTTTAACAAGCCTTGGGGATGCTTTCTTTCTCTACTGTAATTCTATCTAGAGTACAGACTTTCTGCAATCAGTATGATGGTCTCCAAGAAAAAAGTTATCTTGCCATTCATTCATTCATTCATTCATTCATTCATTCATTCATTCATTCGTTTAGCATAATCCTCAGACCAACCATTGCTTATTCAATGGGAAAAAGTCCTTGTAGCCTTTTCATTATCTTGCTGATTATCTAGTTAGCACTAGAAAGATTACAGGAGGGAGATATAACTGTCTTCTTTGCCCAACAATTTTGACCTCCCCCCAAAAATCATCTGTATTAAAAAATATCAGTTGGAAAAGAAATCTGCTTTCAAGCCACCTTTTGTCCACTTCTCTGCAGCTCAATGGAAAGTGTCTCCACTAATTGTATAAATACAATGGATTTAATATAGTTTCAAGAATGAGGTTACCCACCTCATTTTGATATAAAACAGATGGTGTATTTCTTAGAGACTATACATATTGATTGTGCATAAACCAAGTGGCAGTTTTATTTATGTCCAGTAATAGTTTGTTACTTTCTTATGCATATAAATTTCTCAGAGGTTATGATGATAGAGATAGAATTATTGAATGTTGTTTTAATATAGAACATTCAAATGCTTGATATCTGACACTAATTTTTTTTCTTTCTCTTTTTTCTTGGCAGATTAATAGAATTGTCATCAATAGTTCCCATCAGTGCTCACTGGGGAGTTATTTCCAAGTGTCTGGCCTATAGTAAAGCTGTTTCAGATCCCTTCGTTTATTCTTTGTTACGACATCAGTATAAGAAAACATGGAAAGACATAATAAATAAGATGCTGAAAAGAGGCTCAATAAATTCATCTGCTCTCACAAGTGAATCACAAAGTCGGAATTTTTTGCAAGGGAATGAATGAAGAGGCAAGAACTGTTTTTGAAATGTAGCATAATGCTGGTGGACAAAAGCTGAGGGATGTAGGCTGGCATCTCTGGGATCATCTTCCAACAATATTTTGGAAAGCCTGCCAGCTGAGTGTTCAGCAATGTAGGTAATTAATTTCAAAGCAAAGTTGAATGCCTTTTAATTCTGGCATACAATATAGCCTACAAGGTCTCCTTCAGCTTCATGAAATATGTCCATCCATATCCACAAAGACATAATCTTGTCTTTATTTAAATATGGATTTGGTATGGATTATAGTAAAGGATGGTGCTTACATGCCTACCATCCCCTTGAAATATAAAAACACTGGACAACTTTGTGACACTTTTGATATGTAACATCAAATTGACACCTGATAAAATGTGATTACATAAACTACACAATCTGTTATAAATAGATATAACTATTCTTCCTAAGATATGGCCATACGAGGTCATATTTAATTGCACATAAGCTTGTTGGATGAGAATCAGGGTATCTCATCTACAAATTCTTAGTTTGAGGTACTGCTTTCATGATGTGCAAATACAAGAAAGATACTATTGTTGGGCCATGTCTTTGCTTATATTTTTAAAGTGATTCTCATGCCCCTTATACACTAAAGCATTTTCACACATCAAAATGGGGATGTTATGTGGTTTTCAAATATTAACTACACTGCTTCACTATTTTCAGTCAAAGATATAGAATCTTTCATGGCTCACCATCTCAGTGGTTGAGAAGGACCACCACTGTATGAGATAACATCTTCTGCAATCTGCATGTGTCCATTGGAAGACAGGTCTAGTCTTTTCCTTCTGGTCTTTCTCAATTGTATGCTACACTAACATCCCACAAGAGAGGAAGCTATGTCACATTTCACCTAAATGGTTACCATATTGCTATGGTTTTCTGACTATGAAAAAAATACCTGTGTGTTTTGCATTAATGTGAGTCTGCAGTACACTGGCTAAATACAGGCTGCTGGCAGTCTAGAATGTAATCTTCTTCACAAAAAGAGTCATTGTGAACATTGTGTTATGTCTGGTCCTGAAGCCCTGACTGACAGCTTCAAGAGGTGTATACAGAAATGTTGTACAGGACTCCTTTGTCAGTGCTCAGAACTGGATCAAAACATTTGCACAGATTCCACACAGATAGTTCTATGCACTCACTGTATTCATTTAAGAAAGTATTTATGTTAAAAAAACAATATATGAAAAAATGTGTTTAAGTCTGAAACTATCATCAAGTGAATCTGAACAACGTTAGACATTTCTTTCCAGTAACTGGAATGGTTAAACCAGAAGAATCATTGGGAATTTATTAAAACTAAATTCTAGAATAATAATAAGAAAAGATTCAGACTGAGTAATGTAAAATGAAAGGATATATTATTCAGACTTTGATTGATTCTTTCCTCTTTTGTGAGTTATGTTGGGATGGACTTGAGAGTTGAATTCTACTGATGCTGAATCCCGTTCACTTACTGGTATTCCACCTGTATCCAGTGTGCTATTTGTGCCCATTGGTCTACATCAAAAAGGCTGGACAGGTTCTAAACATTTTTTTTGTGAAATAAAAATGCCACACCTAAAAAAGACCCTTTCTCACTGTTCTGTACAAATGTATTTAAAACTAGCAGCCATTCTTCAAATATTCCAGAATATGTAATTCTTATTTTAAGATAAGAGTTCAGGCTTAACTTTCTATCCTGCTTATTGATTTTTTCAACCTTTGGTGCATTGATATTTGGGTTTGGGAAGAAACTGTAGGGTGATAAAACTATAACTGCAAGAAAATGGTCTCTTAGGTAAAAAATATAAACACTCTATTTGGGGGAATAGAAAGTATGGATACATATCTATAAGGCAAGGAAAAATTGGGAGGAAATGGCAACAGTTTTTCTTTTTGTCTAGATATAAGTAAGGGAAAGGAGAAGGGAAGGAGAGAGGAAGGAAGGAAGGAAGGAAGGAAGGAAGGAAGGAAGGAAGGAAGGAAGGAAGGAAGGAAGGAAGGAAAGAAGGAAGGAAGGAAGGAAGGAAGATTTATGCAAAGTGATCTTTTTTCAGAATGAGGAAAGGTCATGAAACAAAAAAACTCTCAGCTTTGATTAAAAAAATATGCCTTCTGAGAATTTCAGCTGAATTTAGAATCATAAAAAGGAATATTTATTATCTGAAGTTGCGTCCTCTCTCTCTCTCTCTCTTTCTCTCTTCATTACACATGCCCACACACCAAATGAATACTATACTTTTACCTATTAATGTGACACCCACTCAGAATTGGGGCATCTAAATAACTTTCTTTAAAAATTACCATGTTTTTGTCCTCAATGTATCATTCAGCAGACGAACCTTCCCTCGTTTTACATCTTCTGCAAACATCATTGCTCAAAAACATGCATGCATGATTTTCCCTATTTAAATCCACTTCAAGCATTTAAAACATAATGTAGCCCTTCCTTAGAAAAAGAATTGTAGGGAATGAACAGCCAAGCATAAGATTCCTGCTCCTGTGAAAGGTTATAACTATGTCTATCTAAACATATTTATACTTTCCTCATAGATCTTTTTGATATCAAATAAGATATTCATTTACACAAAGAACTACTTTTTCCTTAGAAATGAATGAATGAATGTCCTGCAATGAATTGGGGTTAACTATGTGCAGTGCTTTTTTTCTTAAAAAAAAAAAAAAAGTGCCGGAACTCAGACATGTCATACAACCTGCCTTGCCTACCCTACAAGGTTCCATCCCCAAAAGGTGCTGGAATTCCATTCTGGGCGTTCTATGAGAAAAAAAGCCCTGACTATGTGTGGATCTAATCAGTGGTGGGATTCAAATATGTGAACAACCGGTTCTCTGTGTGGATGCCACTTCCAGAAGTCTATTCTGGGTCTGGGCAACAAAAAATTAGCTACCGGTTCTGCTGAAGTGGTGCAAATCGGCTGAATCCCACCACTGGATCTAATCCAAAATTCTCTCACAATCATATAAAACAGTATTGGCATCTTTTTCCTTCCTTCCTTCCTTCCTTCCTTCCTTCCTTCCTTCCTTCCTTCCTTCCTTCCTTCCTTCCTTCCTTCCTTCCTTCCTTCCTCTCTCCCTCCCATTTAGTTGACATATTACTTATAATAAAATGACTTGATATGTGATACAAGTACAGTTTTCAAGTATTTTAACTGATAGTTTTTAATTTTACTTTTTAATAACATTAATTTGAGGTCAGCTACCTTTTCTATGAGCATGCTTCCATGTCATTATTATTTTATTTTTAAACTATTAAACAAGAGAAAGACATAATAATTTTCAGTTAATTTGTATTGCTGTTTCTAGATAACTATCATCACTGCATTTAAAAAAAACATTTGGTTTCAATCATTTTGTTTTTGCATTTATCCTTAGGCCTGTTGCAAATTTATCTGTTGCCAAAATAACCTTTGCTCAAACATAATAATATAATGTTCTCCTGAAAAGAAAATAATTGTGCCCTCATAGTTTGTTATGTCTTCAGGATGCAGTTCAAGAATAGAATTTGTCTATCTGACATGATTGAATGGAAAGCCAAAGGGTTATACTAATGTTCAAACAATAAGATTGTTCTCACTCAGCAGCAAGGTATCAATCAATAGTGTAGAAAGTGGTGAAATGAATCTGGTTTTTAACTCTCATTCCATATTATAAATCCCAAATCTCTACTTGATTCCTGAAGATTTATGGGGAACAGTTATATAATAGGCTTGTTGGATGCCAGTATATTAGTTTCATCATTTGACCATATGCTGAGAACATCTGTAGATGGATAAGTGATTCCCTGATGAAGGTTTCTGCCATATGATTTTTAAGAAGCTGAGGTAATTTTCTGGTTATCGTATTAATCTTAATTCTTACATCTGGAGGAAAAGCAACATCTTTATTTGGCTAGTTATACTCACTACCAAGATCCAATTATGATATATGAATTCATCTTCCAAACAGCTTCATATGATTTAAAAAAAATGAGATGACAAGCATGCATAGTGGGTATCCAGCATGGAGAGAGATACACAGAGACAATTTCTGATTTTTACACCTTGCATTACAGCATAGTATAAGGCAAGAACTTCATTCTCTATTATATGTTGGCGAACTATCTTCTTCAAATCTATGAATTGTCTTCATTCCATGGAATTCTATATGCTGACAAGCCTTCAGGATTCTTTACTGACCATTCTAAAGTAGTATAAGGATAAATCCTGCAAGATTCTCCAGAGGGCTTTTGTGAAGTTTCTGAATACCTTCAGACTTGCTGTTATTTTAACACAGTGAAGTATTTTATTGTACAATTAAGATCAAAGCAGAAGATATTTAGACTGGAATCAAGTTGGAAGGCGCTCTTTTATCTGTGCATATGTAATAAACTGCATATATATATATAGTGGTATATATGCAAGGCCCTCTAATTGGACTATAATTCTGGCATTCTTGACAAGATCTCATGGAAGTCAGAATCTAACAACATATTCAGGGTTATTTATTTTGATCTTAAGTCTTCCATCAACTATTTTAGCATAACTGGACATTTCCATTTGAATCCAGTATTCTTTAAAATAAGTATGCTAAAATGCTAATGCACTGGTCCAATCTGACACTGGAAATTGACTATCTTGCTATGAATGACCAGCTTGAGGCTGAAATACATTAGATCCAAAAAATTTGAGGGTATCACAGGTTCTCCAATTTAATGTGTTACCATTTGTTTCATTTTTAACAAACAAGAGCAGATTTCAAGTATGGTATGCATGTTTGCCTAGGGTGCATATTGCTTAATTCTTCATTAAGTAATAACTAATGTAGCTATTTTAGTCCATCTTTCATTAGTATGTAGTATATTAAATATTACTTTAAGCAATAAATATTCCATCAATTCTTTCAGAGTGCCTTTTCCCCAGAGTAGATTGAAATAAAATAGCCTTACCATGTTGGGGATCAGACTGAGACATTATATTAGGGGAAAGTACAACATTTTGTTGATAACTGCAATTCAAATTATACAGTTTGTTTTGCAAAAATGCAAGATAATTAACTTTTTCAAAATGGTCATCTAAAATTTTAAAGATAATCTTTAATTGATATTATTCATGATTCTATTCCTCTATGACTTTTTTAGGTGAGTAGTTGTATCAATAGATGTATTGTATCTTTAACTATTTTATTATACACTAAAATGGAATCAGAAAATAATTTTGAGGAACACCCCTTCCACCCAAAGAATATCTATTTTTTAATTATTCAGAAACAGAGGGCTCTGGACTCTTATTTTGATTGTAAGATACATAACTCAGCACTAAATTTGTAATTTGATTTTTAGAAAATCACTCATGCAAACCAATGAATTGATGCCTGCTATTATGTGTATGGTCAATGACATTCTAGCATGGGAATTAACTTGCAGGGCTATAAAAATTGGTCATAAAGTGGACATTTTATTAAAGTTATGTCAATGGTAATTATCAAATTTATTATTATTTAACATGATACCAGTTAAATCCATTACTTATAATGAATTATTTAATATGTAATTGTTTAATATGTAATATGTAATTGTTTAATATATAATGTAATATAGAGTTCCTGTAATATATAATTTGATAAATATATAATATTCTTTTTTTTCCAAAATGATCTAAATCTATATGTCACTTTGTAAATTCATACAATTTGTATTTTAGTCACCAGGTTTTTTATACAATCATAAAATCAGTCCCTGTAACATGACACAATAATCATAATGTGATTGTTTAATATTAATCTTAATCGTTAATCCCAAATCTTACTTGCAGTTGCTCATTCGTTCTAAATAGATTGGGCTTATTTTTCTAAGTTTTCAAACTAAGCTATGGTGAAAATCAGGCATAATAGTTTCTCAATAGCTTAGTTACTTCTTTTGATTTCACTATACTTTCAGTTCTAATACTTGTGGAAAATGTTTATTTTGTTCAACCTTTGTGTAATTGTAAGACTTGTAAACTGTGTTGAGTGATTTCATATTTAATATTTCTGTTAGCAAAAATGTTGTAGATTGACCTTTTAAAAAGAATCTAAAGAATACAACAATCACGTGCGAGTAAATAACTAGCTGCCAAGACTTTATGTCAAAAATTCTCCGGTGCACTTTGTCCATCAGTCTAAAGTCTGAAAATATTTGTAATGCTATATAATTATTATTGATTTGTTTGTTTGTTTTGTCTAGGAAGATAGAAATCTTAAATAGCATTCAATTTACCATTTTAAGAATATGAAAGTTCAATTCCATTTTTTTCCATTAGATTTCAGAACATGAGATTTTATTTATTTAGAAAAACAATAATATGACAGCCCATTAAAAAAAAAATCTCAGTGGCAAATAATCAACTGACGAAAATGGAGACATAACAATTCCACAAAATTAGCAGATATATAACAGCAGTCTGGAAGATAAAGTGGGTCAGAGCTGATCAAATCTCAGGGAGAATATGAGGTTTTCCATTTTTGTATACCTTCTTTTGTTTGCCTGTTAATATAATCCCAGATAGAGCAGAAGCAATTAAAAACAATTGATTTTTGAATCAGTGAGACTGATTGCTATCATTTTATTGCAAACAAGGAATTCCATTGGTTCAAAAATCAATCATCTTGTTAATACTATTGCACTATTTGTTGTCACATTAACAGGCAAACAAAAATAGGAAAATAATAGAAAAAAATTAATTTCAGTTTCATAATTTAAATATTTAATCCATAAAAATACGCAATTATGTTTGACTAAATGCCCCAAGTCTTAAAATTTACCATAATTAGTTTTGATATATGGACTTCATGAAAGCAGTGCATTTCAAGGATGAGAAGTTTACTTCCATATTTTAAAAATTCACAAGAGTGGGATAACTGTAACTATTGCCTGTTCA